AGGAACAGGCCTGGGTTAACCTGTTGGCTGCTTCAGGCGAGAGGGACACCACGTTGCAGGCTGCCTCTCCACCCCAGCAGCGCTGTTTCCCAGCCTCAGGGCACCTGCAGAGATCCCCGATCTGGTTACCTGTTCACCTGCACTTTGCGCGTCTGATACTCTCGGAGCCCGCCCACCCGCTCCTTGCAAGGCAGCAGCGCAAATCCCAGGCCCCAAGCTCAAGGCCTGGGATTTAATTTGGCCGGTTTGAAAAGTCCCGTTTCTACCTGGTGAGCTCATCAATAACTACCAAAGCCACCTCTCTCCGCCTCCAAGAACCAGCCTTTTTACAATGACTGGCTCCAAATGCAATTTCAAAATCTAGCTGGCTCCTGCAGAGACCTCACAGCCTCGCAGGTGGAAAGAGGCCATCTCTGAAGGCTGGGCAAGTTACAAAACAGGATCTCTGTGCACTGAGAGAAAGGAGAGAGAGATTGCTCTAGCAGACTGGCCTCCGGGGCTCTGAAGACCTGAGTCCTCTGTTCTCAGACTGCCTGGGACTTGAAAGCTCCTGGCTGTTGGCCCCCTGTGCGGGTAACAGGGTACCTTCTTGTTCTCAGAAAAGGAAGTCTGTAATCCATGCATTGATATGCAAATGTGTGTTTACCCAGGTGAGGTATATTGTGGGAGAAACCCCGGGTTAGGTTTCCACATTGCACATAACCTTTATTATGGTATTCTCGTTTCACTGCGCTACTCAAAGAGGGTTCAGAAAGAAAGTTCCACGTGCATACTACGTGTGGCCTGCAGAAATCTTTCACTGAGCCATGTTTTAACCAAAAGCACTAATATTATGTTTGCATTCGCATGTGTGGGCTGTCGTTAGAAACTCTTGATTATAATGACAGCACCAAGAGTCTTAAATCTAGGTAGCACCTGTTCTGAAAGATCCTCTGATGATATTGAATATAAAGCATAATAAGTACCACATATTTATTGATGACAGATTGGATGTGACTGCATTTTCTCTATGAAGGATGCTGAGCAACTCTGGATCAATAACTGTGTGTAGGACGCCAGGCTTTTTTTTTTTTTTTGAGACAGAGTGTTGCTATTGCCAGGCTGGAGTGTAGTGGCACGATCTTGGCTTACTGCAACCTCCGCCTCCTGGGTTCAAGCGATTCTCCTGCCTCAGCCTCCTGAGTAACTGGGACTACAGGCACACGCCACCATGCCCAGCTAATT